TCAACGGGTCGGGTCAACCCGTCGGGTCACCCGGGTTGACCTGACCCGTTCGGAGCTCTATATAGTATTATTTTGATAAAGTAAAAACTCAGATATCCTTTATACTTTGGTGGGCTCTGAGAACTCCTCCATTTCCCATTTTATTACANTTTTTGAATTACTTTTGGTTTTAGTTTTAAGTCTTTTTAATTTCGTTCACTTTGTGAAATAAAAATAAATAATTATTTCTATAATTATAAATTAACAATTTCTTGTCAAATGTAATTTCATACAATTTGATAATTTGACAATAAAAATAAATTTATTTTAAATTATACTGTGCATTATAGTATTTCGGCAGGTATCGGCATATCGGCAGGTATTAGCATTTCGGCAAGTTTCAGCATTTTGGCAGGTTTCAGCGTTTCGACGTTTCGGCAGTTTTGGCACTATGTAAATAGTTTTTACTTCCAGCATTGGGCCAAATGAGTTTCGGCAGGCAATTTTACCCTCAGATAAATATAAAAAATGTGAACGCGGATATCATGTGACAATGTGACGCTAAATATCACTGTGTAATCGAGGGTGGTGTGGTAAGATTTTCCCATTACTCATACCCTAAAAAGGATAATTCTATGCCGATTACTTAATTCTGACCGGAATTATAATCAATCTGGTCAATCTGCGGATAATCTGATGATCCGATTTTCTTAATCCAGATTAATCTATCACGTGATCATCTGGATGACGGATTGACTAGATTCTATACATCAAATACTATCAAAGGATTTTAGACCTACTTCAAAACCAATCGTGAAGCTTATGATACGGTTGATAGAAAATTTTCTTCTTTTGCCTTTTATAGTAGTAAAGTTACTTGCCAGGGATTAGGCGGCTCTAAAATTATTGTTGTTCACTTTTGAACCAAGCTCGATATAAAAAGGCTACTGCTGTGTCTATGGCCTTCCTGCATAATCTACAGTTTTACAAATATGATCCATCTGCTAAAAAGGTAGATGAACAACTCCGTACCTAGTTGTTACTAACATCCCTTTCTTTGTAACTGATGCACAATTAAGGAGTATCTTTTTTTGATATGGCATTACAGTCAACTCTTTTTATAGTCACACATTTGGAACAGTCCATATTTGGTGATTATGAGCAAACAGTCCTATGACTTTATCTTTTATTATAATTATTTTAAACGAAAAGTACAATATACAAATCAAACAATATTACAAACCAAATATAGAAAATTAAACATAAAAAATAAAAGAACTAGCTTCACGATTCATACAAGTAAAGAAATCTAAACAAAATAAAATTAAGTAAAGAAAAACTAAACTATTACAGAATACGCATACCCCAACTTTACCCAAAGGCCAGTGTGAGTCAACTATTTAGCATGCCCTAAGATCCAAGCCGTTACCAAAAAGAAATCCTAAGTAGAGGCTGAACTGTTAAGCGACACCAAAAATCCAAGTGCGAAATCCAAGATCCACCACGAATTATAGAAGAGGAAACCCAAGAAATCCAGGAATCCAAGGAAACTGTCGCCAGAGAAGATGTCAAAGAATCAAGAGAAGTATCAGAAGAAAGGCGAGAAATAGAAGAAGGTCCAAGAGCTGACGATTTCATTTTTTTAGTAATACCTTGAGCTAATTTCCAATGATGAAAGAAAATGGAACGGCACAACCAGATTTGAACATAAAGGTCAAAATGAAAGTCGTGCAAAGGTATATCTAAAATAGACCATATGGTGAATGGTGAAAAATAATCTCCAAGAAATCCTGTAAGGGATTTCAGTATAAGATCACGTGCGAGTCTTAAGTAGGAGGGCGAAGGAAGGTCGCAATCCCAACAGTCAATAGCCGTAAATTCAGCAGCAAAAGAATCTGGTAAAGGTTTTAAAGATGATGCAGAAATGAATTTATCAAGATAATTAGATCGAAGAGCCAATAAAAGTGTTTTGAAAGTGATGAGAGGACTATATTCAGGTAAAATATAAGGGCAAGTCCATAAGTGATCTAGAGTTTCAGGAGAGGAGTTGCATTGAGGACAAGGCCAACTTAGATCATAGAGATGAGGCTTTTGTCTCTGAAGAGTTGTAAGCGTCAGAAGCATATCTAATAGTATTTTGATACAAAAAGCTAAAATTCAGAACGGCCATTCAGATGGGAGAAAAATTGCTTTTTATTGTTAAGACAAAATTTAGTACAAGTCCAATCAATATCAGAAAGATAAGAAGTAGGATTAAATCTTGGTAATACAGTGAGAGTTAAAAGATTCTTAGCGTCAAAAATATCTCTAATAAATTTCCGGATATTCATATCCATAGGTAGAGAATTAAATTATAAAATGCAAGGGGCCAAAAGTTCAGACATCGATCAAGAAGAAGGATGCGAGTCAATATGAGCAGCTTTGGCCAATGTATCCACATGATTATTCAAAGGGTCATCAGTATGAGCAGGAACCTTGATCAAAGTAACATCCAAATGCTTTTGTGAGACAACATTTCGTATAGAAGACCACAAAAGGTGGTTTGATTCTTTAAGCATTCTAGGATTAAAGAGGGCATTCATGTACAAAGACCATAAGGAAAGTAGATGAGCACAATCAGTGGTGACAGTAATTTTGGAAATCCAAGAGAGGGAGTCCAATCCATGCAATAAAGCAAAAACTTCTGAACGTAAAGCAGAAGAAAAAATAGAAGAAATGGAGTTATAAGAAGATTCAAGAATAAATCCATCAGAATCTATAGCACTCCATGCATAAGCCATCGAAGGTGTCTGATGATTAGAAGGAGGAAGGAAGGAACCATCAATATAGAGTGTAGACACTGAAGAAGGAAGTTGGATATTAGAAATCCTAGACACTTGATTGTTCTTAGGAATTGATTGCACCGGAGCAAAAAGATGAAATAATAAAAGAGATTTGGCAAAGCCTAACGAGGCACTGATCAAAATCATTTCTTTCAGCATTAATACCTTTCGTCAAAAGTTCGTCATCATCGTCACGTGATTCGTCACACATTCGGCTAATTACAAAATTCGGAAAAATTTTGGCATAAATCAACTGGTCGATTTTTGGTCGATTTTTGGTTGAGCTGTAACATAAAAAAAACCATAAATCGACCAATACTTCTTTTTTATCGATTTTTACTAATAACAACGATCGACTTAAACTTTTTTGACGATTTTTAACCGATTTTTTAATTAATTTTAATTAATATCAATAAATAATAATGACATATAAGTAAAATAAGAAAACACTGAAATTAAAGATTCGTCAAATTTTATTGTAAATCAATTTATTCGTATTATTTTATTTATTATTAAATAACCAATTCCATAAAATTCGTTAAACAATTATTGTAAAGAAAAATTCTGTAGCTTTTAGTAAATTACCGAATGTGAAACTTGCGATTTAATGGATTTATCGCTAAATATTCAGTTGCGTTGCGGTTAGAAGAAATTTTATATTTAGCAGGCACAAATTGGCAAAGAATGTTGTGTACTGGAATAATACAATCCCTACTTTCAGGAAAAAAATCTGTTTTCCATAATTCAACATTGCATGTTTCCGTTTCTTCAGTATCATCAATACTAAAATGATACCGAATATTTGCTGTATCTGCTGGTCGGTACCACCTAATAAAAGCCAAATAATGCTCAGTAGGTCCATTTGGTAAGTCAATTTCATGCTTGAAATAATACTGGACTTGTCCAGGATAACGATTGACTTCTCCATCAGTCGTTATGAATTTGGCTAATACATATGAACTTTTTATGTGTCGAAATGACAACGCGGAGCCAAACACCTCAGATCCAATACGACATCTTCTAAATTTATCCATTTTTACACGAATATTTATCGCATCTTGCTCTATAGCATCAGATGGTTTTCAGAAATTATACATTTCATATGTAGCAATATAATAATCGATCATTAAATCGAGCATCGATTGTGATAATACTACATTTTCAGAAGTAGGTCTTAATATTTCACCAGGAAACGCTTCGCATTCAGTAACAGTAGATTCCTGGATATTTTTTGAATTTAGCCAAAACCTTTCTATTTCATCTGAAGCGAATTGATCATTTTTTGATAGTGATCCAATGGTAGGATGATTTTCAAGTAATTCAAGACCTTTCATCTGAGCACTAGAAGTAATGATATCTCTGATTCAGTTATTATTCATTAATCGACGCATTAGTTCTAGTTCAATTTTTCTGTTACTGTTCGGTAATGATCCTAAGGGTTGTATTTAAAAGAAAATTTAAAACCAATAATAATAATAATAATAATAATAAAGGCCAGTGTATCTTACCGAGTATTCCATTCATGCGTTCAAATAAAAAACACCAGAACGCATATAATGGGCCAAAATCATGACAATATTCAGACAAATGAAGCGAGAGATGTAGATTCGGCATAATTTTATTCCTGCCGTATTGTACCTCAATGAGCTTTATTATTTTAACAAGTCAATAATTATCGTTAATGTGTAATTATTAACAATACGTAAATTCAATACTTATTAATACCTGTTGGAACTTTTTCCATTGATCTCGATATATTTACATCAAGTGGTGATGCATCGTTATCAAAAGTATGGTGCGTAACACCTAAATTCATCAAAAATTTAGCATAAACTCTAAATGTATCTAGTTTTTCAATTTGTATATTATTAAAAAATCAAACCGATTTTTATGTAGTTTAAGTCATACTCTTTTAGAAAATTGGCTTACATTTTTGGACTAGTTTAGTTATTTAAAAAGTTATCAGTATTTAAAAATATAGTATTTTATTAGTAGGTAGCCAGATTCGGACTTACTTTGCAGGGGTATTTACAGGGTTTTGGCCAATAAAAATGCGAGATTTAAATCACGTGACAATCTCGATTATCATTTAAACAATTATATACTTTGTCTATTGTTTCTATCGTTGATTTGGGGCCTTTTGATTTTTAGTTGCTCCCTTTTTTTAATACAAAAATATACAAAATAAAAATAAAAAAAATGCCGCTTCTTTCTAAACAAAAAAGAAAATCAAAAGAACAACCACGTACAGTAGGCGGTAAGTATAATACTAAAAAAACATGTAAAAATGGCCAGGACTCTTTGATACTTGAAGTATCTTACAATGATAATGATTTTTTCGATGATGGTTCATGCTATTTTAATGATGACACTGATTCTTTTGATGATAATGGTGGCGATTCTTCAAGTTTTATTGATGATATACCGGCTGATGATATTAATTTTGAATTCTTTGATGATGAAGTGTGGAGTGATGATGATGATAGTGGATGGGACGAACCAGAAGAAATGGAAGCCGAAATTAAACTCCACCAAAGATTAAAAAATTTCGATTTAGTATAGAAAGATGATAATCAACTAGAAAAAATAAAGCAAGGGCCATATAAAACAAGCAAAACACCAAAATCAACATATTATGACAAATATGGTCCAAATGGCACGTTAACTAAAGCTGCAGCTGGCACTGAAAAAATTACAAATTTTTTTAAGATTAGTAGTACCCAAGTTACTAATCCACAATTATCTAGAGCTGATACACTAGAAGTTTTTTCAAGTGATTCAGAAAGTGAAGTTGTTAACCCATATATTTACAAAATAACTGAAAAAATAAAGAATCTAAAAAAACAGTTAGAGAAACAACATAATCAATTAACAGTTGATGAGTATAATTATAAAAGAGCAATATTTGAATATCTAACCTTGTTAAATAATAATAATGGACACAGAAAAATTGATATTAGTTTGGAAGTTGCACAAAAAATTTTTATTGATGGTGGTGTATGGAAAGCAAAAAAAATCAGATATCTTACAAAATATTGGTTACTGAATAATAAACTCCCAGAATCTAGATGTGGAAAACATCAAAAAACAATTAGAATAATTGATGATGAAGATGTTGCAGAAAGATGTCATATTTGGATTCGAAAACAAGATTTCAAAGCCACACCAGCTTTATTTAAAAAATTCATTGAAACTGAATTATTTCCTAGCATTGGAATCACTAGAGAAAAATCCATTGCTTTAATGACTGCAGCAAGATGTAAGTGAAGAATTTAAACTAAATTTTCTTTAATAAACCCGAATATTAATTATTATATTTATTATATATATTAAATAAAGGGCTTAACGTTCTTGATTATTCATTTCAACAATATCGTCGTGGAATATATTATGATAGGCATGAAAGAGATGATGTTGTACAATATCGAAAAGAATTCTTAGAAAAAATGTTTGAACATGAAAAATATATGTCCAAATATGAAGGTGAATCTATAGATCAAATACATCCTAACTTACCTGAAGGAGAGAAAGAGAGAATCCTGGTAGTTCATGATGAATGCATTTTTTATTCAAATGATGGAAAACGCGAATTGTAGACTAGAAATGGGGAGATGCCATTACGAAAAAAAGGAAATGGAAAATCAATTATGGTTAGTGAATTTCTAACCAAAGTTGATGGATGTCTGCGTTTGCAGCAAGCTGATATAAAAAAACATCCTCATGTACCCGAAGCAGCATGATGTTACTTAAAACCTGGCACAAATCAAGAGGGATATTGGACAGCAGAACATCTTCTGGAACAAATTGAATATAAAGCAATTCCTATTTTCGAGGCTTTATATTCAGATTGTGTAGCAGTATTTGCTTTTGATAATAGCTCTAATCATGCTGCATTTAGCAAAGATGCTTTAGTTGCAAGTCGAATGAACTTAAATCCAGGTGGTAAACAACCAGTCATGCGGAATACTTACTTTGGGCCAAATAATCAGCTACAGTCAATGGTGTTTCCAACAACACATTATGATAAGAAACTTCGAGGTAAGCCTAAAGGAATTAAACAAGTGTTAATGGAACGTGGAAAATGGCCATCTGGAGGATTGGTATTAGAATGTAGCAAATGCAAAGAAAAGTGTCAGGATAGCTCAAGAACTTCCTGCTATGCACGTCGAGTAATATCCTTAGAACCCAATTTTCTTGCTCAAAAAGGTGCTATTGAAGAATTAATTGAAAATGCAGGACATAAATGCATTTTTTTCCCTAAATTTCATTGCGAATTAAATTTCATTGAAAGATATTAGGGTGCTGCCAAAAGGTATTCTCGTGAAAACTGTGATTATTCATGAGAGGGATTGCAAAAAATGGTTCCTGAAAGTCTTAATTCAGTAACCTTAATTACTATTAGAAAGTTTTCAAGAAAATGTTGGCGCTATATGGACCTTTATAGGAAAGGTATTGACAGAAAATTAGTGGAATATGCGGTAAAAAAATATAAATCTCACAGGAGAATACCAGAGTGTGTTTTGGAGGAATTAAATAAGTTAGAATGAATAAATTTTATCAAAATTTTTTCAAGCCGTTAAAATCAATAAAATTAAATTTTACCCAATAAAATCAATTACACGTGATAAGTCACGTGAAATGTCATTTTTGAAATTTTGGACTGTTTGATGAGTTTAGGTGTTACGCACCATATCATGAACCATTGAATAATTCAAAGCGAATTTTTGATCTTGTATAATTGAAGTTTCACGATCTTGTACAATTGAAGTTTCACAAATTCTTCTGCTATTTGTTATAATTGGTAGTGGAACCAATGGAATTACTATTTCAACACTTGCTTCTCTTCGTTTTTGTTGAGCTGATGATGCTACTATAGTAGAATTAGCAGGATGAAAATTATAAGATCGTTATATTACATAAACCCACTTCTGGTAGCTGCTAAACGTGCAGCAATTCTATCCGCTTCACTTGTTATTGTTTTAGAAGAAGTGGACTGAGAACTTTTGTTTCTTGTGGTATTTCGAGCATATACTATATGGTTATAAACAGAATATGAATAATGATCAAAACTACTTGCTAAAAATTTGTCATATCTTAAATACCTCTTTCTTTACCCATGATAGAAATTTCAGATATAATCGTTATAATTTCAGAAAAAATAAAAATTTGGTTAGTAAATTAAAACTTGAAGGGGAAAAGTTTAAGACGATATGAAATCTTGGATATTTTTGATAAGCTATATGTAAATAAAGTTTATTATAAAGTTAATATATAAACTATATTTCACGCTCATTAAAATAGTTAAAAATAGCTAAATAGCTAATTTAAACATATAAATTCAAAAACAAAAAAATAAATACATCCTACCTCGTAAATATATATAAATGCAACTTTTGTGATCATAATTTTTCTCGAGGTCAAGATTTGACACAACATCGTCACCGACTTCATTCAAATAATAAGCTTTCGTAAACAGTAGCGTGGATTCAAGATTAACAACTGAATTTGCAACCGACAACGTTATCACAAGCTTTTAATAATAATGTTTGGAATATTGAAGGCTTTGGTCAAAATGAAGAGATAATTACAACCGAGTTTGCTGCTAATTATCAAACTGAAGATTATCAAACTGAAGATTATCATGCAGTCTGTGATGCAGACAATGATCATGATGAAGATAATGGTGACGATAGTGAAAAAAATGATAATATAGAAGACAATACTGATGATGGCAAAAATACAAAAAGTTTAAGTGAACATGATGAAAGCGTTCGGTCACAAAATAATAAAAGTACATTATCCAGTGAAGACTTTTGTGGTGTAAGTTTAGCTGATGCCTATGAAGAATTAAATAATATTAATATAAAATAAATGCTTTGGCCAAGTGACGCATATAAAGAATTTATGACTATTGTAACACAATATCACCTTTCGGATGCAGCAGCTGATTCTGTATTACATTTACTTAAAAAATATTGCAATAATCCGCTTTCTGAATCTACTAGAAAAGGGAGAACATTTATGGATAATGTAAATATTAAAGGCTTACGCTTTAAAGAAAAAAGTCTTATTACATTTGAAGGGAAACTTTATAAGCTGCAATATAGACCAATTTTTGATGCAATCAAAAGTTTAGTTTCTAATGCCGATCTGAATAAAGACTTTCTTTTTGATTATAACGAGACAATGGGAACTTGGTCTTGTAAGTACTATCTATTTGGCTTTCTGTAATGGTAATACTCAATACATTTATTTATTATTTAATTAATATTATTATTATATGCTTAGAATGGAACATATGTGCGTGTTTACTCTGAGCAGAATACAGCAGATTGGTGGCGTGAAAGACAGATGCCATTTAGCAAAATTCTAGCTATTATGATCTATATTGATGAAACAACTCTTGATACTCTTGGTCGAAAATCTGAGTATCCCATTTTTTTAACACTTGGAAATATTCCAAATTCACGCCGTAATTCACCTGATGCAAAGGTTCTCGTCAGATTTCTACTACACTTGACCACTCGAGATAGTAAATTGCGAAATTTAAAGGAGTTTAAACAAGTACAACGAGATATACAACATCGTGCATTAAAATATTTGCTAAGTCCCCTTCTTAATGAAAATGGCATATACTTGGCTATAGATGGAAAGGTTGAACACTTTACTGCTTATTTGTCTACAGTACTTGCAGATATGTTAGAGGCACAAAGTATATGTTGTACATATAAATCCTATTGCACACGATATCCTTGTTACAAATGTCTTACGTCTGGTAAGCAACTAAATAATATGAATATTGAGCAAGATTCAATAATTTTACGTAATCATGATAATATGCAAGAAGCCGTTTTTTCTTATGATGCAAAGGAATATTCTATTCATGAATATGATAATTTTTTCTGGAATTTTAAGTAAGATCAATTTACTTGCTTTTTTTCTTTTAATTATTTAAACTCATATTTTTCAATTTTCTTAGAATAATGAACATATATGATGCGACAGCATTAGATCATATGCACTTACAAGAGATTGGTCTATTTCTATACATACTTGATTACACACGAGATATGCTCAAACTTCAGTGTGGTAATCAGTTTCTTAGTATAATGGATAATAGACTGGCTACTATTACACGATTTGAAGGCTTAAGAATATTAAAAAAAAGGGTATCAACAGGGAGTGAAATTCACAGGTGGTGAAATGCGTGATGTGATGAAAATCATCATGTTTGTACTTGACGAATTGTATGATGAAAGTGATTATATGAAGAACGTTAATGATAATTCACTTTCTACTATTTCATGTAAAACACTTATCAAATGTTATGTCAAATTTATTAAAATGTATATTACATCAAGAAAAAGACAATTTAATGAAGATGATTTAAAAAGGTTTAAAGTGAGTATTATTTTTTAAAAAATTATAATATTAATATTAATTTATTAAATATGTTATTAATCCATTCATTGTTATACCATAGAATGAAATAATCGATTGGTCAAATGATTTTGTAAATATATTTAAACAATTTTCACCTAGTAACCTTCAATTGCCAAAGCTTCATATGTGGAGATACCATACTATTCACACTATCAGACGGTATGGTGCACTAAATGGATTAACTACCGAGACGTATGAGACATTACATAAAAATTGGGTTAAAACCCCATATAGAATATCCAATAAAAAGGATGAACATACACTTGATCAAATGTTAAAAACGGTATATAATATTTATTAATAAAATTGTATTTTGGTTACATAATAATTGAATTTAACTAAAACTTATTTTATCAGATTCGACGTCAAATAATCACAAGTATTACTAAAAAACCCTTAAAATTAAGATCAAATTCTATGAAATCATTACTTTGGAAACTGCAAATTGGTGAAATATACGATCTTCAACAAAAGCTTGAACATGATGAAAATATAGATAATCTGTGTATTGAAGGAATAAAGCATCTAATAAGTTGCTTAGATGTATATTTAGATGATGTATCTAATGCATCTGCAAGTGACAATATTTATTTGAAAATTTATGCTAACGGAACATTAGAAAATGGCGAAATCATTTATGCCGTTAGTAAATTTCATGGTTATGCAAGATTCAGTGATGTTGCAATCACTATGGATAATATTGATTATTTAACTGATGATGGATTATGTTACGGCAAGGTAAATTTTTTATTTTAAGATTTAATATAAGATAAACTTAATTTATATGTCTAATTTATAAATTTGCAGATATTAATGTTGGTTGAAGTATCACTTTTTCCTAATCATCCCCCCCTATCTCTTGCTTTAATACATTGGTATGATTATTATTCTAAAAGATTTCCTATAATGTATGAATATCCTCATATGAAATTTGTAAATCATTATGATTTAATACCTTTTGATTCTATTGCGGGATTAGCATATGTAGTAAAACGATTTGATTATGAAAATGAATACTTTGTAAATAAATTTCTTTTTTAATTAAATTTATAATAATTTAAATATTAAAAACTTTTATACATTTTGATTATTAAATTAGTTTAAATACATTATTAATTTAAATAATTCCCTAAGGATTTAAAAATAAGGATCCTTAAAGATTTTTTCTTAGAAATCCTTAAAGATCCAGTAATTTATAGAATCCTTAAAGATTTTTATAATTTGTCAAAAGATTTTTAAGGATTCTATAAATTACTGGATCTTTAAGGATTCTGAAATAATTTAAAGATTCCTTATAGATCTATGACCTAAAAAAATTACTGATGTGGAAGTAAATAAATCTTTCGGTAAAATAGACTGGAGTGGAATCGCCAGACGTAGATCTTTTCTTGGAGGTCGGAATAATAAAGACCACGTGATATTCAATCGAGAAGAGAATAATAAAGAATTGAATAAAAAATGTGTTCGCAAGGAGAACATATGGGACCATAGTTCCAAGTCAATAGTAGAAGGGCAGGCATCACAGTCCAAAAAACCTTGGAGATAAGTAATCATATAATTGGCAAAAAGTTTATATGAAGGATGAGAAAAAATTTTTTGCCATGAAGCCACATGAGATAATAGAAATCGACCAAATGCTTGTTGGATAGAGAAAGGCAACAATGTAAAAAGCGCAGAAAGAGGAGTGACTGAGGCTAAACCAGCCTTCTGTCGAATAAGAGAAAGCATTGAAGAAACCATGCGATTAATGGTAGATTCAGCAAATAATGTGGTTTGTAGGCGAAATTCAAGCCTTGGAAGTAAGACAACATTATAAAGATAGGCCACATGTTGTGCCAAAAGTTTTTTTGGACTGAGTAGAGCAGCCATTTCTTTGATCATGGAAGTGGTTTGATTGTGAACAAAACGAGAAGAAGCCAAAAGGCAAAACCAAACACTTAAAAACTGAAAAGACGTAAATAAGGCTAACGCCTTTAGAGTAAGGGTACGAACTGCAATTAAAGGGGATGGAGAAAGATCTAACACTATAGTTTGAGAAAATTGTTCAGAAGAAAGAAGGATATATTTTGCGGAATTGGCTTGAGTATTATTTAAAGTATAAAATTCAGCGGTAATGGAAAGGTGATTTTCAATTTCTCGTTTAGATGAAGTAATCAAAGTAGAGTCATCCATAAATGTGATATGTGAAACAGGCAAATTATGTTGTTCATATTCAATCGGGGAGTAATCCAGTAATGCAGAGGATTTCAAAATAAAGGGATCACAAGCTTCTCGATTAAATGTTGTAAGCAGAGGATCCAAATAAATTACCCATAATAACGGAGAAATAATTTCACCCTGGTCTATACTAATTCTAACTCTATATCCAGAAGTATCACCATAATGGGTAATAATTTTATTATTACGTCTTGTAAAAGATTAATGATAAATTTGATCAACAAAGATGGTATGTGCAGACGGATTAAAGCTAGTCTAAGCATATTTAAATCAATCGAGTCAAAGGTCTTGGAAATGTTTTGAGAAACAATCCATAACTCTTGGTCATCAGTTTTATTAAAGCGACGTTGATGAATAAGAGCATCAAGCATCTTAATAGGAATGTCAGTAGAACCACCTGGCAATTCGGCAAAATTACCACCTTGGAGCACTTAGTTATCAGCTAGGATTTTTGAAAGTCGAGTTGTAATGACCTTAACCACATATTTCCGTATGATTTCTAACAAAGTGATAGGTTGTGTATTCTTTAATTGAGCTTCAAATTCATGAGGCTTTGGAATGGGATAAACAAGCGCTTCACGCCAATCAGCAGAAATATCACCATGAATAAGACAAGCATTAGCTAAAACAAGGGACAAATTAAAAGCTTCTCCAGTTAAATGTTTGAGCATCTCATAAGAGATCTTAGAGGGCCAGAGGCTTTATTATTAGGCATAGAATTGATAATATTCTTCCATTCATCATCCAGGATAGGAGACATAACTGAGGTATATAAAGACGAGTCAATATCAGAAATCGGAGTATATGCTCTTTGCCAACGCGAAGGGAATGAATCTATGGAAAAATATTGGACCAAAGGAGAAGTAACTACTGATTGGAAATGATATTTGATAGCAGCTTGTTTGATATCTAAAGGATCAGTAAGGAGAGTGGGTTTGGAGTCAATTACAACCAAGACTCTATTAAGAACGATAGAGCGATGTTCCACTAACAGGGTTGAAGAAATAAAGGAACCCAGTGACGTAGAGAAATGTTCATCTTTAAGAGCAGTATAATATTCAACGGAGTCTAAACGATGTTGTTGAAACTGCGTGGAAAGGTAAGCAGAGACCAAAGCTTTTTGTGAATGCAGAAATTTAACAAAAACAGGAAGTGGTGTTGTGCTATAAATAGGTATAGTATAATCTATTAAAAGCGATTTGAAAAGAGTTAATTGTGTAGGTAAAGAATTAATTATTTGTGAAATTTGAGCGACGACCAGGTTGAGACGTAGTTAATTTAAACAACAATCTATCCAAGAATTTGTTGATAGCAATAAGCATTGTAAGCTCAAGAGGATATTTATGGTGATAAGTATTGGAGACATGTTGAAATGGTAAAGAAACAATGGCACCACCAAGAATAGAACGTTTAAGAGCGTGCCAAAGTTTATCCAAAGGAAGAGCCGAAAGTGAAGATATGAAAGGATGATGTGTGGCCAGATACAACTCAAGACGCGAATTGACTTCATTGGAAAATGTATCCCAAGTATTTTCTTTTAAATTCTTGTAAAGAAAAATGGTGCGTTGTTCGCTTTTTTGTTTAGTTTGGCTTTGGCTAAAGTAGCAAAACAAGAACTAAAATCAAAGGCCGTTATAAGTACATGGTGATCAGTAAATTGATTATCATTCAGCTTAGGACAAGTTTCAATATGAGAGAAAAGACCAGGAGCAGGAAATCCAGGAGATGACCAAATATAATCAAGTTTTGAAGAACCATTTTGATGATAAAAAGTAGGACTAGGATTTGAAATTGAAGAGATATGGGATTGATGATTCATAAAATATCGAGAAGAAAGTGATCGCAAATTTTTTAAATGATGTTGAGAAAGATGTGAATGTGAGAATTCATCTGCATTAAAGTCACCAAGGATGACTACATGATAGTTATTAGAACGGGCTTTATTAAGCCATAAATTGAGTTGTGCCAAAATAGCATCACGTCCTTTGTAATGAATAGAATGATAAGGAGGAATATAAACAGAAATAATAGAAATTTTTGTCTGATGAAAAAAAAGATCTAATTTTAATAAATGACCTTTCCAAGGATCGATCTTCTGAACATGTTTATGTAAAGGATGGCGAAGTAAAAGACCAACATTATCGTGAGGTTGTAAATTAGAAGGGGAAGAAGCCCAATAGGACTTAAAATTATATTGGGAATGATCATTTTGATAAATGAATTTAGCACTAGATGAAGTAAGACGAGTATCATTTAGAGATAAAACACCAAATGAAGAATGCAAGAAATAATTTAACAAATGCAACTTTCTAATAGGGGAACATAAACCATTAACATTGATTTGTCCAAAATTAATGAGAGAGGAAGGAGAAAGGGATTGACTATTATAATTATGATTAGTAGGTATCGCACTGGTAGAAGGTGAAATCCCTGTGGAACACCCGATATAACTTGGTGTTCAATCATTAGAAGGGGAAGGGTTTGGGGGAGAGAAGGAGTCTAATTTTTCCATAATCGAACCAAGTTGGGCAGAAAGATTCTTATGTACACTAGTAACATTAGAAATTTCCAATTGCAGACGGAAAGCAGTAGCATTAGGGGCGATAATATTGGGTTGGGAAGTTGGCAAGGAGACATGTCTACTAGATAAGACAAAGCTAGGATCTAGAGTGGAAAAAGAAGCATCAGGAGAAGTGTCCATAAGAGAAGAGGAAGTATGAGGAGGAAGATTGGATCGTGAATTCGTGTTATGGGCTGATTCATCATGCCACTTATTATTATAGGAGTGGTATTCATTTTCTTCATAAGGCGGATACAAATCAGAGTCTCCAAGGGTATCATAACCCATCATTGATTCAAGCTCAGATAGCCTATACTCATGTAGCGTGATGGTATCCTGCATCCAGGAGACAGTTTCATCGATAGTATTAAGGGTGTTAGCAATTTTTTGATCTGCGCCTTTAAATCATCAATAATATGTTGAGAAAGCGTATAGGCAGAATTGTTAGATGGAGAAGTAGGTATAGAACTATTAGGATGAGAATCGTGTGGAGATTGAGTAGAACTGGAAGAAGATTCATTGTTACTGAATTATTAATATTATTATTGTTGGTCCGGTTGGTTTTACAGGAAGTAACAGGACAAGAATTGTTAATATTGTTATTGCTATTAGTGGGTCAGGATGAAGAAGAGTTGTTGCGAGATCTAGAATTGGATCACGATCTTGAACGGGAATTGGATTTGTCACGTGATAGGCACAAATCCTGACGACCATGTCAAGGACCAGCATTAAAGCGTGAATAGAGTTTGTTAAGGCGATCATCCACTTTTCATGTAGAACGAGGATTGCATATAGAAGGGGAACAACCAGGACATTCACAAACATGACATAAAGTGTGTGCTTCATTGGGTGCCACATCAATCCTTTGCCGTAAAAAGCCACAGTTATCTCTTTCGCAGCCTCAAGGGTATCAAATGAGGAGAAATTCAGACATACATAGGGTTTAAGTTTATAAGAACTGATAGAAAGGGAAACATTAAGAGTCTTAGCGTTGATTTGAGAAGCAATTTCTAAAAGGTCAGCCTCTTTAATATTTTTTGGAATGCCAGCAAGGACAGCGACATGTTCTCTACGACTATCACGTTAGGATTTCGAAAAAGATGCTGGGCAGATGCGTAAAGAATTACCAAGGTAAATGATCACCCAAATATCATTAAATTGGGTAACTGCATCCGCAGAGGAGAATTGGATATGTCCATTATAGTAATGTTTCCTAGGGGTAGGTTTACACTTAATCACAGTACCATATCAGGAAAATGCCTGACGGACTTGTGTCTCGTTTAGGAAAAGTGGGATATCAGTGACGAACAAAGACTTAGCTTTGTCGCTGAGCTTGGCGTCTGCAGGGGAATAATGGATGAAAGCTAAATCGAGAAGATTGGCATGTGGGGAGTTAACACAATCGGTAAAATCTTCATGACTATTGAAAAAGACAAGGATTTTTTTGTTATCGCCTGATCTA